AATAATAATAATAAAGTGGTAAAGAGTTAAAATTGGCACATCGGTTCATAATTGTATTAAAATCAGATAAATAAGCCAAATATGACAATTGAGCGACCGTGCTAGAACCACGGAACTCGGGAATGCCTAACACCTTCTCCCGGGTTAACAGAATTCCTTATCCGGATTTCTGGTACGCAGATTGTAATATGGAGTCATTCTTTTCCTCGATTCGGGATTAAAATTGGTGACTTAGGACACCCTAAATCTCCCAAGTGACGACTCTGAAATAAATAAATAAATCCCGTTTAGATTGTCCTTTAATTGGAAAAAACTCCTACGCCCTTCGCGGGGTCGGAAAAAGGAGGTGTGACACCATGTAGAAAAGGTATTTGTTTTCCATTTTAATAAAAAAAGTATTTTCTTTCATGATGTAGAAAAAATATTTCTTTTATTTCAATAAAATGAGTACTTTATTTTCATGTTGTAGGAATAGTAGTTTCTTTTTCAACCAAAAAAGAGTATTTTCTTTTTAGTTATGGAGCACAAATTTTAACGTTTTTTTTTTCGTAAAAAAGTAAGGCAACACATTAGTTCCTTTGGGTTTTATGAATTTTTAGAGACTTGGGGGAGTGGGTGAGAAGAGTAGCATAAAAAATATTTTCTACTCTTTAACCAAACGCTAGAAAATATTTTTCGAAAAATATTTTACACTCACCAACCAAACAAAGAAAAATAAGTGATAAAACCACTCATTTTTCATGAAATGTTTTTCCATGGAAAACATTTTCCTTCATGCCAAACACACCCAATTATAAAACAGAATGGTCATCTTTATACTTAAAAATGTTGAAGGACTAATTTATCATCTAGTCAAAGTATAAGGGGTATAAGAGCACTTTTAACCATTTCTCTTCTGAACAGGGGAAATCAGAAACAGGTCCTCATTTCCCCCCTTCAATTCTCCCGCCATGTGTGAAAAGGAAAGAGCTATAAACCCTAACTGGCCTAGAATTTCTCGACGAACTGGTATGTTTCTCCTCTCTCGAAATGAAACCTAATCGTTGATCGATGTTCGGTCATATTTCATCTATTTGAGTTTTCACTTTTGCTGGTATTTGCAACCGATTACTTGCTAATCGACGTTTCCCGGGACTGATACATTGGTTTCCTATTTATTTACTTTTGAAATCGATAGTTGAATGGTCAATATAGAACATTAGTATGTATATAGAGTCCCGTATATCTCTTTACATCCGTATTTTTATTGAATTCATGATTGAATTCTAGGGCTCCTAGATTATTGTTTTTCGCATGCACTGTAGCTTGTGCAGTTTGGGCTGTATCTATAGTTCTTACTACTGGTCTAGAGTATTTTACACTAGCGTTGCTGGTTAATTTATTTTACTGCATGTATACTGAGTGATGTTATGACTGTCAAAAGCTCTATTTGCATATCTATGAACTCTAGCTAGTCCAGGTCAGCTAAGAACCTTTATAGTTGCATATGTCGTTTATTTCGAATCCCCTGATATTTTCATAAATACTGAAGAGATCACTTGGTCTTGCAGTAATCTCGGGGGTACACATTTCCTTGTAGAATATTGAACAAAATGAAGTTCAGGGCATTTCTAACAGACAATGGTGTCAACCTCCTGGATAAGAGGTTCCTTCCAGCTCTTGACAAAATGGGAAAGATCTGCTACCTCTACCTTACGAGAGACCATGTATATTTTCTCCATAACCTCCTCAATGGTGATGGCATCCAATCCATTGCTCAATTCCGCATTGAGGCACTGTTTGATGAGTATCGCATCTCTAGCCAAAATGATGATCGGATATCTTTCACTATTGATCTTTCTCTTCTGCACCGTGCCCTTCGTAGTATCATTAGTATTTACACCGAGTTCAGTGCCAGTCACGGTGGAGATCCTGTCGGAGACAGTGCCCCTAACCGCCTCCAAATCAAGCTGGTAAAGAAGCTCCCTCCTCATTCTCAACAACCTATGCCTTTTCTCACTTTGGAGGCAAAAGGTTACAGGTCTGCTGTTATTCAAGATGTGCCCATCTCTAAGCCCTTGTCAAGGTCTGATGTACTTGAATTACAAGCAGCCCTTGATATGGCTCAAGATTTGCCTCAGACACTTATACGAGTCCCAGATATGCATCAGTTACAGAACTTCGTGGATCGAATGAAAAATGTTGGTGATGTGCTTAATGTTTCTATAAGTAAGTATGGTGATCTCCATCTGCAAGTTTCTACTACCCTGATTACACTTGGTGCTGAGTTCCGGAAGCTGTTAGTTATTGGAGAACAAGCAGAGAGCCCAACAGGTGACCAAAATTTGAGTGCTCAGTCAAGAACAAGAGTAGCACTTCAGAGAGGAGATGCAATGATGGTTCAAGTGAGTGTGAAGCATTTCTTCAAGAGTCTTCAGTGTCACTTTGCAAAGCCCGATTGTGCTTTCTATGGTATTGCTCAGCAGGGTGCTTGCCTAACAGTCATATTTCAGTTCTTCATTCCAGGGACACATCAAACAGATAAGGCAATTAGTCTTTACTGCCGACTACCTGTCCTTGACCCTGGATCTAGTTGAAATGTCACTGAATTAAGATTTTTACTTCTCTGTCTTAGAAGTTCTTTGGGATGTTAACCTTCCTACATTCCATGTTGGTCAAGTGAGAGTTGTCATAGCTGAACGCACAGTCATCATAGCATGGATTATAGTGTCCTATCTGTATAATTAAATGAAGCCTTGATTGCGTGGATTCAACTCTTTGTCCTGCACTGGTGCTTCCTCAAGACACTCAGATTTATACAACTGCCTGGACTTCACCAGGGAAGGATGGTGTCTTCTTTCCCCCTAATCTTTCGCTAGTCTTGGAAGGCATAATATGCGTTTTCCTGATACTTGTATGGTGTGCTCTAGATTTCTATGTTGCTTTGGTTTTTATTGGTACTCGTTTGGTGTTTTTTATATTTCTAGTGTGCCCTTAGTTTGCATGCCGCAGCTCTGACAATCAGAAGTAGCACTTAAAAGACCGGGTGTTTACTTAAAGTTAACCATAGAAAGAAACTAATTAAGGTATATTAGGAGTCCTGTTTTAATAAATAAAGAAATCAAAAAAAAAAAAAAAAAAAAAATCAGTGGCCGTGCGACTATAGAAAAAACTTACCTGCATTCGTCTTTCTTCCTCTTCTGCACGATATTCTACGAAAAACCTCAACCAAGAATGTAATGGGGAGACAATTTCTTAGGTATTATTTAGTTTGTTATTTGTTAGTGTGTTGAAAAAAATTCTCCTAAGCTTTAGTTTAGTTAGTAACCCCACTTAGGCTATTATTGTCTTCACAAAAAAAAGTCATCAAATATAAATTTCTTTTCAAGATTAAGTTTGATAACCTTTTCATGATTAGTAATAATATAATTATGCAAGGCCAAGTGCAATTGATGAAGTTCTTTTGTATGAGTTTAATCTTTTTGAATATACATGTATGTTGTTTTCGCAAACTAAGCCATTTACCTTTTGTATGGTAAAGCATATTCACCACTAGTAGACAACAGTACTGTCGATGTACTTGACATTTCCGTCTAGAACATAACATGGAATTTCAAGATGTTGGGTGTTTTTATATTAATATTTAATCAAGGTTATGTGCAAAATATATGGTACTTAACTACAGTTAAGTACTAATAATTGTAGTTAAATAAAGTGACATGTGTTATTTGCTTATTGGTCGGGTGTAAACATCCGGTGCGGATAAGTTTTTTCCAAGGCTAGGTTGACAGATTAGTGTATGGTTAAGGAAACTAAAAGTAAGCCAGAAGATCTGTATCTTTCCTATTTTCTTCGGACTATAAGAATCTCTTGGTGAAGGTTAACAAACAAATATAATGTTAGCTGAATTACGTCTTTACTCTTATGTAGCTTTTTGTGAAGATTTACTGGGAAAATTTGTTCAGGATGCTTTATCATAAGCTTGTTTCTTTAATCGTAAAATGTACTTATAATAATTACTTTGAGTTTCTCAGAAGTTCGTTCTTTAAAGCATGGGATTGTTCCGATGGAAGAATGCAAGAGTAGATGCATATGGTCACCAAAGTAATTTATTCTTATAGTATTATCATTTAACATGCATTCTTTCTTTTCTTTCATTTGTCATTAATTCTTGGTATTTTTCTGGGTCTCTTGCTTCTCGATAAGATGATTTGTTTTCTTCAGCAAGGTTGTATATACAGCTATTTCAATTTTTTAGTATCCTATCCTTCAGATCGGTGAATCAAAGCAAAAGATTAATTCACATTTTCAACGGAAAATTGGTTTTTTGGGTCTTCGGTTTTTTAAAAGAAAGTTACCTTTCCTTGCTTTTTAGGTGACACAAAAGTTAACACTATCTTAAAGTTCATTCTAGCATATGACCAAAAAAAGTTCATTCTAGCATTATTTTGGACATGGACACTGCCACTTAAGAGTTTTCAGAATCATCAATCTTGTTATGCTTCCTTAGATTTTTAATCCTAACATGTGACGTCCACCAACATGCTATTAACTGGTGGATTCGTGACGTATACCATGAAAAATTTGTATAAGATCCATTCCAAAAGCAATTGCGCCTTGCCATAGTGGATTTGTTTTTTTGACTCCCTATTCACTTTCTTCATTCTACCTAATGAACCTTGGGCCTAATTCAACTCTAAAAGCTAGCTTAAGAGGTGAGAATTGCCCAAATCCATATAAAGAAACCACCCATCCCCTTCATTGTCGACGTGAGACTCAACATGTTCCTTTTTCATATTTAGTACTCTTTTTTCTCTTCTCCTTTCTTTTTGGGTAAGGATTTCACCCGATGTTTATTAATTAGTATTCAGATATCACCGTTTAGAAGTCATTTTTTAAGAAGATTCACATATTTCTCTAATAAAAGTTTATAACATAAAATCAATTAGTATTTTTTTCAACAATATAAATCAATTACCTATATATATTACCGTAATCATAATCCAAAGAATTCTTCTATCAAAATGTCACTCTTTACGTTAAAAACGGTGATGAAGAAACATAATCGTAATTTTTGTTAAAAGCAATAATAATCAAGTTAAAAGAAATAAGAATGTGCCATTATTCAGACTCTTGGGAAGGGGGGCGTGAAATATTTCGTGATCTATATTTTTGAAAGGTTATAGTATTTCTTTTTATAAAACTTTATAGCATTTCAATTGTAAGAAGCAATAGTCGAGTGGGGAGGATGTGGCTTTCAGACTTTAGAACTTTTTCCGTTATAGTAGTAGTAAAGTAAAGTAAAGTAAAGTCTATTGGCCTCTTCAGCTTTAAATCGCACCAGTCTCGGCCCGTACCCATAAAGCTTAAAAAAGCAGAAGCCAGTAAAAGAAAAATGAGGCGGAAAAAAAGGTAAAAGTAGAAAAAGACGAAAGCACATATGCAGACTCAGGGGCATGCGGAAAGCAACGAGCAAAGTTGCACAAGGCATTTGCATCTATACTCTTTTTGTATCACGTTTTAACTTGTGTTCGTTTTGAAAAAAAATTATAAGTGTACCCGTTTTTTCGCATAATTTCAGCATACGGGGCTGAAGTAGCAAAGGCAATCACGCAAAACTTCAGCATTCTAGTAACCGGGCCTGAAGTTCAGTTCTAGACCTGAAGTTTTTGTTAAGTTTTTGTTTGTAAGCTTCAGCTGTTTTTGTTTGTATAGAGCTGAAGTTTTTTATTTTGTAACTGTCGAGCTTCAGCTCTAGAGCGGAAGTTTTTGTTTGTAAGCTTCAGCTCTAGAGCTGAAATTTTTGTTTGTAACTGTCGAACTTCAGCTCTAGGAAGGTTGCATGCATGATTACTAAGTTCCAACAACTCGATTTGTCTTAGCTTTTGAATCTTTGCCACCAAAAACATGCGACAATCCAAAATCTGATATTTGAGGTTCATTACCGTCTAGAAGAATATTGTTATTCACCTCCAGATCTCTATGGATAATATGTATCCTTTATGAAGATAAAAAAGCCCCCCGGGCAATGATAAAAACACGAATCCTCCATTAATCTAGCATTTCTTTAATTTTTGTTTGAATCAGTCAATTCCTTTGTTAGTAATTGAGAGACTATAGTATCACTGAATGGGAAGAACGTTCTAAGGTTTTTAATTGAGATTCTCCTGTATATAATTCGAGAGAGTTGCAAAGCAAGGAGGAGGAGAAAGATGACTGGAGTTATTTAAAAAGTGGGTAGAAGTTAAAAGTTTTTAAAATAATGGGAATATGTTAAATGAGGGCGACCAAATAGGCGCCCGTGCAATTTTTACCTTGCCGAATGATCCATAAACCCGACCCGCATTGACATAAAACAAACACAGTAAAGGGACGTCATGATCCATAAACCCGACCCGCATTGACATAAAAAAACACATTAAAGGGACGTCGGATTCGCCAACTCGCTTCTATGTTGCCATCCATGCACTACTCCGCCATTTCTTCCAATTCGACCGTTCCTCTATCTCTCCTCAATTTGAAGCAAAGGTTTCCATATGGAATTGATGAAGCGCGTCTGCCCTGAGTCTCCATATGTATGTTCCTTTTTTCTTTTTCCTCGTCCATACCCAAGTTTCTACTGTTACTTTCTTCTGATTTCACTATAATTTACTTTTTGATCATTTTTCCTTGACAAGCATCTTTCTTTCTTATATCTTTTACTTATAGTCCAGTTTATGCATTAGAAAAATGTCTTGAATTTTTATGACAGGTTTTGTTTTCAAGAATACAAGATTCTAAGCAGAGTAGATAGATATTCGCCCACTTTTCTTCCAACTCATGAGATACCTCATCAATTTTTTTTAGACTGTAATTACTACACAGAGTGGGATACCTTAGTACCTAAACTTTCGAAATTACTCACCTTGCTGCACGGTATTCTTTCTCTTTTAAATTTCAGCAGTTTTCTGCAATGGCTTTTCTTCTGATGCTTTTTTGTTTTATTTTATGAATAGAAATAAAAATAAAAATAAAAAGGCTAATGTTCCTTTTCGCTTTTAATTATCTGAAAATTTGTCTAGCCTTTTTGTTGCGATTTACTTTGCAAGTGTTCAAGATTTTGTGTGATAGTCAGATAATCTCTCCGGCGGTAACCTTAATTATTAAACATCGGAAATACTCCGTTTCTTGAACCTCAGTAACAACTTTGTTTCGCGAATTTTTTAAAGCAAGAACTACAAATACATTCTGTGTGAGCGTCTTACAAACTTCCTCAATCAAAAACAATCAAGAATCCCCCTTAATGACGAGAGAGTAAGGGAACGTGGGGGACATGAATACCACTTAAATCTTGTTCACTCTCTCTCCTTGCAGATAAGGAACATCATGCTTTCTGTCTTGCTACCATTAAACCTTATGTTTGTGTTATTGTTTTGATTCTAACGGACAAACACTGTTTTTATTTCTGGGTGGTCAGGTATGGGATAGCAACGGAGTTTCACAGTGTTTCAGCAACTTATATCCTTAAATTTATGTATGTTCTTTTATGCTAAGAACGTTATACAAATTGCAATTATTGTTTATTACCTTAACCACATTCACAGTTCTGGGCTTTGGAGCTAATATCGTGACTATTGTCCTTGTTGCTGCCATCGGAGCAGGTAAAAGGAGTGCCAAAGATGGAAAAAGGGTATGCTGTGTCTTCATTGCAAGGAGTTGTTCCCTTTTACCACTCCGCTTAAATTGGATATTACTACACATTTCCTTTTGTTTTCAAAAAGAAGAAAGACATTGCCTCTGTATAGTTTTCTGATTTGGACTTTAAACCATGGATTAATGCTTAGAAGTGAGGAATGGATTATCGTTTTGTGTAAAAGTAGGACTCCTACCATTGATTATATTCTAAGTGCAGCCATTCCATTTAGGAAAGTATTTCATTTGGCATGATCCGCATTTTGGGAAGCATGCACTTAATTTAAAATGCATGTTATCAACCACACATAGTTTTCTTTTACCTGTTAGATAGTGTTTATTGTTGCTTCCCCTGATGATAATTAACAGGAAAGAAGGAAATTTATCAGGAATTGGTGCTTTGTGCAAGAAAAAATTTAACAATGCTTTTTGTCCATTCACTGTTGTCATGTGGCTTGGCAACTGTAGTTCTTAACAAGTTTCTAATGGGAGAAATCGCATAGGATTTTGGCACATAAGAAGGATATATAGAGATGAAGACATGGCTCGGGAAGTGTTCATGTCTTTAATCTCTTCAAGATAAATATCTTCTGTGATTATAAGGCTGAGGGTTCAGTTCATGTTACCTTTTTGTTTTAGACAATTGTACTTTGCATGCTCTTTCTTGATGTTTGTGGAGTATACTTAAAGAAGACAAAGTAGCATGTCCTTATTTAATATGGTTACTCTTTTGCGTTCCAGATATGAAATCCCTTGTTTCATGTTTCTCATTCCTCTACCTAACTAACTCCTCTTTCTGACTCATAATCATGCAAATTATTTCCATGGACGCTTCACTTACATAGTTGGATTAATGTTTTCCTTCATGAGGTGCTTCATGGACTAATGATTACATGGATTAAATAGGTACCCCGTCTACTAACGGTTTCCTTACATCTTCTACCTGCATTGGGTGCAAGCATGGCACTCTTTGACATGATTGTGCTAATCAAGAAAAGACTTGACAGTTTTCCTGAACCATATCATGAATGGCTCTTCAGATTCTCGCAATTCTCAGTTTGGGTGAGCTTTGCACTTCTCTACCAAATTATGCATTTTGTAGCAGCGGCTTCCATTTCTCATCAGGCATTATACCTTTTCAGGCCACCATTCTGCTGGTCCTTAAGTGTGGGTACTGCTATGTCATTTGCTGCAACCCCATCATATGCGTTTGGTGGATGTTGAAATTTATTCTTTTGGTACCCCATTTACAAAGAGATTTTTCTTCTCTTCAGGTATGCCTTTTAATTTACTGGAATTTAAGATGGTGAATATGTTGGATCTACGAAATTTACTTTCTCCAAGGAATACTTGTTTATGTTGTTAAATGCATCTCAATTCATTTTTAAAATTGCTCCTACAAGTAAACAATCTGGATCTTGTTGCACCTCAGAATCAGAAGATATTCTTTTATTCTTGAGGAATGCATTGAGATACTGTTTATTACTTTAATTAGTTCATGTATTTGTTGGGCATTTACATTGCATTCTGCTCAAAATGTTGACTCTAATGCCAAAGCAGATTATTAGATTCTCTGCAGTAAGGTGAAACTAAAAGCGGCAGTGTTAGCTTTTGATGCTTTTTGGTTTTCATGGATATACACCCTAAGGTCTATAAACCATCATCTTATGTGAGAGAAAGTATCTGTTGAGTAGGCTTTATTTCTCTTGAACAACTGCCCATGTTCAATTCTTGATACTTGTTTCGATGCACATATTTATCACCTAGATTCTGCTGAGTGCTGACCACCGAATATTGAAAGAGTCTACTATAATTTTGGCGTTTCAGGTTCTACTATGTCTTAAAGAAAGCTGCAGTGCTTTATTGGATGTGAGTTTTGCAGTTTTGATTAATATTATCAGAACTACAGCACGGCCTCAGAATAGAAGGTAACTTCCTCTTCCTGTTTTTGGCATTATGTAATTGTATTGATACAAAGATCTAGCTGTTTTGTGCGCTCCTAGGCAGTTGAGTTAATCGCATTGGATATCCATAGAAAGATTAGAGGTTACTTGACAAATGAAAAGTCAAACAAAAAAGAAAATCATCCCAGTCGGGATAGGGCTGTTTATTTTGGAATGACCTCCTATTATTTATAATGCACAAGGGAATCATAAAACATACTTTATCCTCCATCACCTTGCTAAGTTCATTTAGTTCGTGTCAAGTTTCTGGGTATTCAACCAGCAATTAATATGTTAAACATTAGAATGTTGATAATCATATAATCACTTGAATGACTGTTGCTTTGGCTCTCTTATCTTTCTAAATTTTAATATATGCGCAATAAATATCCTGCAATAACATTTTTCCTTTCTATTTACCTACGTTGTGTTGAATGATATTTTCCATGCAGATGCATAGAAGTTTTTACCTTTTTATCTACCAGGATTCATTATTTATCTAGTTATTTTTTATTATATATGCTCTATGTGACAATATGAGCTGGCAATAATTTGCAAGAGTTTGAAATTTCAATTATGTTGATTGAACACTGATTGTATAACTAAAAGTTCATCTATAATTCATTAATCGCATGATGATTAATTGCATAAACAGTTCCATGGAGGAATTGCTTCTGCCAAGTAAAATGGACACTGCTCAAGGTCGCTTCGGAGGAGTGGTATGTATATCATCTCCATTCATCATATGAGATGTTTCATGTTATTCATTGAATTCCATCATGGGATTGTTGTAATATGAAAACAACTGAGACCTGTTTTACCACTTTGGAGATGTCAGAAAGCGCTGGTTTTTTTTTTTTTTTTTTTTTTTTTTTTTTTTTTTTTTTTTTTTTTATAAAAGAAAAGTTATAACTACAGTACTTTCTCTATGTGCTGAACCTGTCTGCTTTTTTACTTTGCATGCAAAACTTTGGTTGCCTATAACATTTTTACTTTCAGTTCTTGTTTCCCCTGTTTATCCTAATTTTGGGACAATGGGTTTCATTGGGATATTAGCCAAATGGAATTATATGCAACTGCTGGGACCTGATAGGATTCAAATCTATCAAACCTGTAATGGAATGCGGAGTCAAAAGGCAGCTTGACTTTGAAGATTTGCTTGAGCTACCCATTGATATGGATCCTTCATCCTGCCACACTTTGCTGTTAACTAGCTGGAAAGCTCAAGAAAGAAATGAATATTCTCATCCTTCACTAATCAAAGCAATTTGTCTTGCATATGGATGGCCATATTTCCGTCTTGGTCTTCTGAAGGTAATATATTTTTGTGACTGCTTTACATTAGTCTTGGAATAATATAGAAGAACCAATGTGTCCAGATCAGTAAGCTGATGCTTTTCTGATAATCACAGTGATGAGAGTTGTGACTATACTATTGGATATGTTAAGACTTAGATTTTGTCAGAGAGTATTTCAATATTAGATTGTATGTTAGATTGTGTCTGATGGTATAGTCAAAGATTGTGGGTAAAAGCCATGATCTTAGGGATACACTCTTGAAATTATGTCTCTAGCTTTGTGTATATATTGTAGGTGTAATCTATCTTTTGCAGTATGAGGTGAAATACACTTACATCATTCACATGGTATCAGAGCCTCTACGATCTCGGTAGAGACTCAAATACTTTTTCCGATTCTTTTTCCGGCAGTCACTACTCCGGTGGATTTTTCCGACCACCTTTTCTGGTTGCTTTTTCCGCCATCCACTTCTTCGGCGGATTTTTCCGGCCATCTATGACTTTTATTTCAGATACGTGAGGGTCGACCATTTATTCCGGTCTTACCCATCACATTCTTTAAAATCTCCGAAGTAGTTTACGGTCAGATCTTGTTACCCTCTGACCCGACTCTATTAATAAGCTCCTTTCCCGGCCAGATCTTGTGATAACAAGATCTGGGTGAGAGGAAAAGAAAACTATTCTGTTAGATAGAGGGGATTTTTCGTTTGAAGCAGAAGAGTAAAACTTTGGTTTTGAAAAGCTTTTTCAAAAGTAAAGCTTTCTTTATTTTAAGTCATACTTTATTACTTTGTCTTTACATGTGGGGGCCATTTTTGCAAGCTTTCTTGTCCAACAAAGTCTTCTATTTCATTACACGGTCCTCTTACTTTTGTCCTCTTTCCCATATTGTTTTGTACCCTTGCCTTATTGAAATTTAATATCAAAATGACAGGTGAGTCATCCACAACAGAAGAAGTCAAACCATTTTTCCCTACAATTTCGAATCGTTCCACTATTACTACTGTTAAATTACAAGGTAGTAATAATTACTCACCATGGTCTTCTTCAGTTGAGATGTGGTTCATGGGACAGGGATATAAAGATCACTTAGTCAAAAATGCTAGTGAAATTGGCACTAGTGAAACGACTAAGTGGACCCGAATTGATGCACAATTGTGTAATCTTTTATGGAACTCTTTGGATCCTAAATTACTCAACTTGTTTCAATCTTGTAAAACTTACTATAAAGTTTGGACTAAAGCTAAAGCTTTGTATACGAACGATATACAAAGTAGTTTCATATTTAGTCCAACTTCAGCAGAACAATCAAGATATGGCGAGTTATTTAGGACAAATACATACCTTGAAAGATCAATTTGACTCACTCATGCCACTTACTGCAAGTGTCACCACCCAGGAGCAACAAAGAGATAAGTTTTTTATGGTTTTGGCACTGAAAGGACTTCGATCTGATCTCAGCCCTATAAAGGATCAGATCTTGGCAAGCTCTTTAGTTCCTTCATTAGTTGAGGTTTCAGCTCGACTATTGCGTATTGGAACAGAAATACTTGATACTAATAAAGTGGAGACATCTGTATTAGCCGTGCAAAATGAAAATCCACAAGAACAAAATGTCTCTCAAAGAGGAAAAGGTAAAAGCACCAGACCCTACTGCTATTACTGCAACAAGCCAAGCCATACTTGACAACTTGTTGGAAACTGCATGGTCGACCATCACGTACAAACAATCGTAGTACAACCCACATGGTTCAAAATGGTGGTGAAACAGATGATCAACATGCTGATTTTCTGGAGTGGATTATTGTGATTACCTGCAGTATCAAGCGGCTAAACAACAATCACTCTCATCTGGCACCTCAAAAACTAGTAATTCCTTTGCTTGTCTGAGCAGGTCTTCACCCAATTGCTCGTGGATACTGGACTCAGGTGCATCTGACCATGTCTCCGGTAATCAGAATCTTTTTTCAAACCTTATTCCTTCATCAACCCTCTCTGCAGTTACCCTTGCTAATGGCTTGCGAACTGCAGTAAAAGGAATAGGAGAAGTGCAACTTCTTCCCTCTATCTCTATAAACTCAGTTTTATTTGCTCCAGAATGCCCATTAAATTTGATTTCCATTAGTAAATTAACCAAAAGTCTTAATTGTTCTGTCACTTTTTTTCAAACTCTGTTGTTGTGCAGGACTGGAGAACGGGGAAGACGATTGGAACAGGATATGAGTCACAGGGACTATATCATATGTCCAGATCACAACCACTAGTTGCCTTCACTTCCGTTGCGTCAGCTGATTTACTCCATAGCCGTTTAGGTCACCCGAGTCTTGCAAAGCTTCCGAAATTAATTCCTAGTCTTTCCACATTGTCTTCTTTTGAATGTGAATCTTGTCAGCTTGGGAAACCCACCCGCACTTCGTTTCCTAAAAGAGTCAATAATAGGGCGTCATCTATGTTTGACATTGTTCACTCAGATGTTTGGGGTCCTAGTCGTGTTGTTTCAAGTTTAGGATTTTAGTATTTTTTTACCTTTATTGATGACTTCTCCCGTTGCACATGGGTATTTTTAATGAAAAATCGTTTTGAATTGTTTTCTATTTTTCAAAACTTTTGCGTTGAGGTAAATAATCAATTTGGTGTTTCAGTAAAGGTATTACGTAGAGACAATGCAAAAGAGTATTTATCATCCCCCTTCACTAGTTTCATGTCATCTCAAGGAATCACTCATCAGACCTCTTGTGCATATACTCCTCAACAAAATGGAGTCGCCGAACGTAAAAATCGGCATCTCATTGAAACTGCTTGTGCCTTACTTATACACCATCACGTTCCTCTTCGTTTTTGGGGAGATATTGTTCTCACTGCTTGCTATCTGATCAATAGGATGTCTTCTTCTGTGTTGCAACATCAAAGTCCACACTCAATTCTCTTTCCAGGTCAAAATCCCTATCATTTACCTTTGAGAGTGTTTGGATGTACTTGTTTTGTTCATGATCACAGTCGTGGAAATGACAAACTCCAACCAAAGTCAATTAAGTGTGTATTTCTTGGATACTCTCGTTACCAAAAAGGTTATAAATGCTATGATCCAAAAGCACATAAATATTTGATCTCTGCGGATGTAACCTTCTTTGAGGCATCTCCCTATTTTTCACTAAACACTACAAACAGAAATTTGATGCCTCAAGTTTTGCCGGTGCCTACATTTCATATACCGCAGGTTAGTCTTCCAAACAGACCTCAAGGCTCTCCTCCTCCTCTCCAAGAATACTCTAGACGTGCCCGTCCTCTAGCTAATACTAATGATAGCATTACACCTGATCCGGATACAGTGGCAGCTTCCGATGACTCATCTCTTGCTCCTAAGTCACCTGCTCCAGTCATGCCTTCATCAAATGCAGTAACTCCACCAATCGCCATACGCAAAGATATACGCACTACTCAGAAACCAGTACGATTTAACTGCTTAAGTTATCACCGATTGTCCCCATTATATTATACCTTTGTATCTGCTTTTTCTCATGTACCTATACCAAAGACTGTTGGTGAAGCATTGGTACATTCAGGGTGGAAATGTGCTATGATTGAAGAAATGACTACTCTAGAAACCAATAACACTTGGGAATTGGTCCAGTTACCGAAAGGAAAATCTACTGTTGGATGTCGGTGGATCTATACAATAAAGGTAGGTTCAGACGGAACAATTGATCGGCTGAAAGCTCGCCTTGTTGCTAAAGGATACACCCAGATTTATGGCCTTGATTATGGTGACACATTCTCTCCCGTTGCCAAAATTGCATCTGTCCGACTGCTTATCTCCTTAGCAGCAATGCGTTGTTGGCCGCTTCATCAACTAGATATAAAGAATGCCTTCTTACATGGTGAGCTTGCTGAGGAAGTTTATATGGAGCAACCTCCTGGGTTTGTTGCTCAGGGGGAGTCAAACTTAGTATGCCGCCTGAAACGTTCACTATATGGCCTTAAGCAATCTTCGAGAGCATGGTTTGGCAGATTTAGCTCTGTTGTCCAACAATTTGGGATGTCTCGAAGTGAAGCAGATCACTCCATTTTCTATCGACATAATGGTTCAGAAAATAATATTTATCTAGTCGTTTATGTTGATGACATTGTCATAACTTGAAATGATCAAGAAGGAATATCTCAACTAAAGCAGCATCTATTCAGTCACTTTCAAACCAAGGACTTGGGGAAGTTAAAGTATTTCTTGGGAATCGAGGTAGCACAATCCAAGAACGGTATTGCTATCTCACAAAGAAAATATGCTTTGGACATACTGGAGGAAACATGCATGTTAAACTGCAAACCTATTGACGCTCCTATGGATCCAAATGTCAAACTCGTAGGGACAGGGGGAGCCATTGAATGATCCTGGCAGATATCGAAGACTGGTCGGTAAACTGAATTATCTTACTATCACACGACCTGATATTTCATTTGCATTAAGTGTGGTTAGTCAGTTTCTCCAAGCTTCGTGTAAAGATCATTGGGACGCAGTAATTCGCATCCTAAGATACATCAAAAAAAGCTCCGGGGCAATGACTATTATATGAAGACAAAGGTCACACAAACATTGTTGGATATTCTGATGCTGATTGGGCAGGTTCTCCATCAGATAGACGCTCTACTTCTGGGCACTGTATCATGATTGGGGGAAATCTATTCTCTTGGAAAAGCAAAAAGCAATATGTTATTGCCAGATCTAGTGCAGAAGCAAAATATCGAGCTATGGCCCTTGCTACATGCGAGCTTATTTGGTTGAAACAACTCCTCCAAGAGTTAAAATGTGTTAAGTTCAAACAGATGGAGCTTATATGTGACAATCAGGCTTCCTTTCATATTGCCTCTAATCCAGTTTTTCGTGAAAGAACAAAACATATAGAGGTGGATTGTCATTTTATTAGGTAGAAGATCGAGTCCGGATGCATTGCCACTAGCTTTGTCGGTTCAAATGACCAATTGGCAGATGTCCTTATTAAGTCCCTTAAAGGGGCTCGGATTGAATACATTTGTAGCAAGCTTGGAGCATATGACATGTACGCTCCAGCTTAAGGGGGAGTGTTAAGACTTAGATTTTGTCAGAGAGTATTTCAATATTAGATTGTATGTTAGATTGTGTTTGATGGTATAGTCAAAGATTGTGGGTAAAAGCCATGATCTTAGGGATACACTCTTGAAATTATGTCTCTAGCTTTGTGTATATATTCTAGGTGTAATCTATCTTTTGCAGTATGAAGTGAAATACACTTACATCATTCACATGATGCATATACATTGATTTGATGTTGTTATATCTTAACTTAATGCTTACTGTTTCTGTTCTCTGTTATCAAATAGCTTATTTTTCTTTTTCTTTTTCTTTTTCCTTTTTACGTATGACCAGATAAATTCCAAGTTATGCATTTATTACCCCAGAAACTTGATTTAGAGAGAAATAGAGTAGAGACTATTATTCTTAACTATAGTTTCTGCATGGGGCATGCAGTTCGCTTTCTGTTGGTAATAGGTTTTTATGACTAACCGTTATTTTCTTTTATTGTTTATCACCTTATTATCTTGTGTTTTTATTCTGCTTTTATATGGCTTTTTGGTACTGTCCCTTCTTGTCTATATTTTCATTAATGTGGTGCTTATGCTTTCCTGAGCCAAGAGTCTATTGGAAACAACCTCTCTATCCTCACAAGGTAGGGGTAAGGTCTGCGTACACACTACCCTCCCCAAACCCTACGGTGTGGGATAATACTGAGTATGTTGTTGTTGCTGTTGTTGTTGTTGTATAGCTTCTGTATGGGTAGTGAAAATTTCAGTATATTACTCTTTGACCACATTTCGTGCTAAGCGCGATGGCCATGAATTTTAAAAGGTGCAATGATTTTGTATAATACAAGCTGGTAACTGTTGAAAGTTCTGTCTGATTTTAGGTGACTAACTTTTCAAATTGCATACCACAACTTTTTTGGTGTTTTCTTTACGTGGCATCATATGGAAATTTTCTTTAAATTATAGGGACAACTTAGATCTCAAGACCAACATATGAATTTGATGATGCATTCTTTATTGATAAATAAAGTGCTGAATTTGTTTGTACCAATCTTGTTAAATATTACTAATAGATTCAAAAGTTGTTAGTAACATTTCTCCATTTTGTAGGTGCTTAATGACTGTCTTGGTTTTGCGGGTCCATTGCTACTCAATAAGTTGATTCACTTTCTTCAGCAAGGTTTGCATATACAATTATTTCATTTTTCCAGTATCCATTCTGAATCGAATGAATTTAATTCATACTTTCCCTGGAAAACTGATATTTCTATCTTGTTTTTGGAGCCTTTGATATTAGTAGGACAGTTGTTTTTCTTTGCTTTTCAGCTGGCATAAAAATTAATGCTCTCCTAGAGTTAATTATAACCTTCGTTTTAGACATGTGCACTCGGAAGCTTGCTGAATGATTCTCTTGTCAATCAACATAGTGCCTCCATAAAATTAATTCTAACCTGATATTAGTATGTGTGGTGTTAAAATTTTCAGAATCATCACTCTTGTTCACATTCAGTTGCTGTGTACTCTTTTGGATTTTCATTGTGGATGTTCTCTCTCCATCAATCATTAGAGTGTAGATTTTTAGTTGAGGATATTTTCTTTCTTTTCCTTTACAAGGAGTGTAGTATCTTCAATGTAAAGTGGTCTCATTGTCATCGTTTATTATTGTCTACATTCCATGAATATGCGGATAAATGCTCTTTTCAGTTTAACGGTGTTATTGGCAATGTTTAGCTTTAATGTTGTATATCATCAAACTCATTTTAGGGTAGATCAATTAACTACTTATTTGACAAGTGTGCCGGATGTCTTCATGACTGTTTATTGGATCTTTTATAACATTCTTATGGTTGAATAACCCTTTGTGACTGGTGTTCGTACTCTTTTGTACTCTTTATCAACAGGTTCAAGAGACTATGATGGCTATATTCTTGCACTATCCTTGGGCCTTTCTTCTGTCTTGAAGTAACTATTACTTTCCGTTCCTGGAATTCATTAATTTTAAGTTATGATGTGTTTCAGCTTCTTTCAAGTTCTTGTCAAACTACATGGTGTTATTGGTGAACTTTGTATCAGAGCTTTAGTTACTGATAGAACACTCAATGTTGTCTTGCACATACACACAAAAAAGAAGAGAAAATATTGTGAATTCTAGGTTCTCGTTTATCAGCATATGGGATTTCAAGTTAGATCATGTTATTAAGTTGTTATAATCTACATATATAACCTCTCAAGTTTTTATAAAGGGACGTGTTCATATATTTTTAGTGTGTCTTAAGATGACTTCCATAGTTTGGCCAAACTTGAGTCTTGGATAGATACTAGACTTTTACTTAAAAATTTGCTCTTATCAACATTTTTTGAGAGTAGGACATTTACTCACCATCTCTGTATCTCCAACACTCATTAGAATTTCTTTGGATTTTTACTTTTTAAACTTGAGTTTTGCAATAATTCTGTATTGGAAAGTGGAAAGTGGATTGGAGTTCTGCCCCTCTCATGTTTTCTCTCTTGGGAATGTATTCTCATTGTGGTAAGCTTACAACCTGGGTTATCTATATTTGGGATACTTCGCATGCTAGCTGGCATACTACATTGTCTTTCTCGCATTTGTCTGACTTTTTTTAGTTGTATAACTTAAGCTGTAAGTTATTATTGGGCTCTGATCTATGACATATTGTCTAAGTCTTGGAAGTTCTCTCTGCAATGCTGCAGATCGTTTCTTGATACACAATATACTTTTCATCTTTCAAAGCTCAAGCTCAAGCTAAGATCCAGTATCATGAGTCTTATTTACCAAAAGGTGAATCTTTATTAACAATGTTTCATTATAAGCTCCTTTATTACCCTGAACAATCTGTTCTATAGCCACATTACAACTGTGTCATACTGTATTCATGTTGCATCTTTATTTCATACTATTTATCTTCTTATCTGAATATGTTCATTTTGTAATTTGTATCATTAATAATTCTAACTAGACCATGTAGCTGTTAAAATGGCATTTAACTAGCCACTTTAAGTTTGGGGCAATGTCAGGTGCTTCTTTCTTGTCAAATGAGGAGGGTGTTTATTGTCATTACTTTCTGATGAAACGAGCATAAATCTTGTTCTTTCAGGACTAGGTCTTAGCTTTTTTAAGTTTGAAGAAGTTGTAGAAATGCCTCTTCTAACTGATAAACATTACAGTATTATTTTCCTACGTTCTCTAACTGAATGATTTTTGTCTTTTAAAAGCCTAAAATTGGAAGTTTTTGGTTTGTTTATTCCAAGGTGTGAAGTGGCTCCATTTATTTTCTAATTCAATTTTAACGTTATTGTTAACGGTTTCTCCCTGCATATCGTTGTTTTTTATTCAGATTATCTCCATCTGGGTATTATCAAACTTGAAATGTTCTTCCTAAAATGAGAACATTGACACCCCATCTTTTGTTTGGTTAAAGAGCAAGTACATTAGGAGTTTTGAGCTCTTTGGTTTTAGATAGTAGAGTATGATTCGCAATGAATTGAGTGTTATTCCTATACTAATGGTTGTTGTCTATAGTGACTACTAAGAGAAAGAAATAGTAAATTGGTTATTTTTGTTCCATGTAAAGGTTGTCCACCAGTTTCCAAAACCTAAAGCTAGGAGGGCCTAGTACCAGTTTGCAAAACCTAGGAAATCCAGGTGGAGAGTACCTTGTTATTTATCTTTTTCATTTATCATGTATAATGGTCATAGGGATAAGTGATATATCAATCTTTGTCCTTCTAAAGTCGTGTCCATGTGGCTACCACTTTTTAAAGCCTAAAGGGGCGTGCTAAGTTTTCAAACTTCAACTCTAAGTGAAAGTTTTATATACTACATGATATTAGTGACTAACATTGCCATTTTTCTTTTCAAGTGTCTTTCTGTTAGTTTGGCCGAGAGATCAAAATTTTCTGAAGGAGAAATTCAGACATTTATGTCTGTGGATGCTGATCGAGTTGCGAACCTGTGTAATAGTTTTCATGATATATGGAGGTCAGTATTTTCTGTCTCGAGAGGATTAGTAATAATGTAATTGGTTGGCCCATGTCTACCCCCCCCCCCCCCCCCCCCCCCAAAACCAAAACCAAAACCAAAACCAAAATAAGATATCCAAAATGAAGATGAAGAATATAAATTCCTTTTGCTTAATAATCTTCTTGTGATCAGTGATCGAGAGATCTGAATTAAGATTTCATTCATGCAGTAGGGGCTACTTCTAAATGAATTATGTTGTCCTCAATTTAACATCATTAGGTAGATGGAAATTAGCATCATCCTTATTGTGAAGGCAGCATACTTTGTGACATGCACTGAAATTTCCATTTTTATGAAAAATTTCCGACATATCTTTGATTTTGACACTTAATTCTGCTCAGATCGACATGGCAATGCGAATTATGTTTCTTTGAATTAATCTTGGTTTCCTTTGAATAATTTTCTAATTGTAATCTTTTATATGACCTACCATTTGTGTGTGTGTCTTTTTGATATTTGGTTAACAGTCACCATCCTTGGGGATTCTAGAAACTACAAGGATAAAAGGCCCTAACTTAAGAAACAGTCACTGGCAAGACAGAAATAAACATCTAGGGTCTAGGTTGTCATGTTTCCAAAAATGTCGTTCTTCCCTTAAAGTTTCAAGAAACTATTAGCCACTCTCTGATGCCTAATTCTTCTCGGTGCATATTGAGACCTACTTGTGCCTCATAAATCTATGCCGAAACATTCTTGATAAAGTTTTTTAATAGCAAGTTGCCATTTTCACTTATGACCAGAAAGAAGAAAAACATCTCAGGAAGTTGGAACCACTTAAAAATGGTGTCCATAGTTCAGTGAATCATAAAGATTCACTGATTGCCTTTCAGTAGGAAATTTGAAATCCATGATGTATGAAAACTCAACGTAAAGTTAGCATCTAGCTAAATTTGGGTTGAATGGAATGTATCTATGCTGTCTGTAAAAAAAGATTTTCTTATTAGTAGCTAGCTGTACACAACGATGTCGTGTAAATTTTGGATATTGTGATATTTATCCAGTATGCTTTTTACTTCTGTCAATTAAAATTTGGTATGATAATTTCATATTTGTGTTGATGTATCTTTAACTTTCAGACTTTCTGTTACCATTCCTTCTTACTCTACTTGCACATTCGTGACCGTAAATTCATGTATTTTCATTGATGATGCCACTATTAAATGCACATTTCTGATCCTAGTTTTAGTTTTCTTTTTGGGATAAATAATGATAAATTGTTGCTAAAAGAGAATGGTCCTGCTCCGCAAAATGTTCAACAAACTATAATGTGTTTTATCAGGGTCAACATGTTCGTTTGTATTTCTTTTTTCCTTTTTTCTTCTTGTTTTCTCTTTTGTTGTTAAGTGCATCTATTCAAGAAAAATAGAGGACCTTTTCAAAATCTACGATACAACTCACTGCACCTTCTTGTGAGGCAGTGCCTATTTGAAAAGTGATGACGTATTTTAAAGTCTTTCATTCAAGATAATATCTAGCATGTTGCTTCGTTGAATTGATTAGACCTCTTATAAAAAGAAGAATGAAGTTCGCCAGCTTGGATGTTGTCCTTTCCCATTTCCTTGGTTACCAGATCTATTAATCATGAAATGCATCAGTTTGCCATTGCAGATTGGAATTGCTCTTTATCTGCTGTATAAACAAGTCAAGTTTGCATTTCTGTCTGGAATAGCTATAACAATTCTGCTAATACCAGGTATTAGATGACTCAGATCTTGAACATGTGCAAAATTTATTAACAATTGAATACTACTGTGTCTGCACTAACTATTAAGTGTTCATATGACAGAGACAACTATATGTTTTAAGTTGGTCTGGTGGAAATAGGGTGTCACAGTGATACTAAGTTGATTGATAACTTGCTTATTGTTGGGGAAGTGATAAGTGATAAATACAGACTAGTTGCCACTAGAAAATGTCGTGGATGTGATTGTGTCACTGCTGTCAATAAAGTTTTCCTTGAGAGGTTGATGAAGGTTTAGGGCTTAGTTTAAGGAGCAATCTATATTTTTCAACTTAGATAACAAATCACCATCAGGAATAAAATCAATAGTCAATATAGTCTTAGACCTTATCCTGCAACATATCTTCAACCTTCAAGGAAGATGATACATTTTTATTTTCAAACGGCTTTGGTAAGTGGCTTGATATGTCAAGGTCTTTATACATTTAATCAATTCTAGAGAAGGCTTGATAAGTGCTATTCTGTGCAGTTAATAAGTGGATTGCAAATGTGATTGCAAATGCTACAAAGAGCATGATGGAGCAGAAGGATGAAAGGTATGTGGCAGCAACTCTTTATAACCTTGCCGGAATTCATTTTGGTATATCACCTCATATGGGGTTATTCCTGAAATGTTAGTTCATTCATCTTCTTTACCTGGTCAGTGCTATTGGAAAGATTAAGTGTATTGGTGCCCATGTTGAATAATCACAAATTTCTTTTCTAAACTTGGCAGAGAGTCTACCTGAATGTGATCAATCTCTTAACATTCTTTTGCAGTTTTTCTAGTGATCCTTGGTTGCTATAGGTTTTTTCCTGAAATTAAGTAGAGTCAATCAGTGTTGNATTGTTTCCTGAAATTAAATAGAGTCAATCAGTGTTGTCATTTTGCTGAAACTAAGCAACAGTTCTTCTTATCAGTTATTTTATTTTACTTGTTGTGAACTTTTTATGTTGCCTTTTCTTTCTGGAGTGTCAAGTGTTCTGTTATCATTTTTAATAAAATCCTTAATGCTACGACCATAACAACCTATTTTGAGATGCTACGACCATACATAAAGGAATTAATAGTGCTAACCTATTTTGAGATGCTACGACCATACATAACAACCTATTTTGAGATGCTACGACCATACATAAAGGAATTAATAGTCAGAAATCAAATCCTTAATGCTACGACCATAACAACCGTAGTAAAAACTGAAAATAATACTCAGACAACCGAACAAGTAGCTAAAGAAGATGCTACAGCAACTTTAGACTTTCTTTGATCTTAAGAATAGGCATTTACATACCATTTTCTTTTAATGTTGTTATCAGGGTGTTCCCACTGAGCATTTAGACTACCCTGATAACAACATTAAAAGAAAATGGTATGTAAATGCCTATTCTTTAGATCAAAGAAAGTCCTTCAGAAATAAATAGATTAAAGATCTAAAAAGACTTAAATGTGATATAGAATTCTTTAGATGGTTCGAATTAACTGGGCAGATTCCAAATCAAAAGGAATTTTTACAAATGATTATTAACAAATGGTATACTAAAAATAAAGGTACAATAGAAGCCACTATTCCACCTTTAGATGAAATAGTAATACCAGTTCAGAATGAGGTCATAACAGCTTCCCCTTTCAAAAGAGAAAGCATTCACCTCGATAAAGAACCAATAAACAAAGACTTGAACAAAATAATTGTTCAAAATAATTACACAAACAATCTTTTACATGTTGTAGCCAATCAATTAAAAGACACTAACAAATTAGGAATCCCAACAAAATCAACAGTAGCACCTACTATAGAAACACATCCTACTATTAAAATCCCTGAATTTTCAAAAGAAAAGTTCCCGCAATTAAAAGATAAATTTGATTTTACAAATGAACTTCTAGAAAAAATAGAAGAACAACTTAAAACGAAACTGAGTGTATCAAAAATCCATACAGAACAAGCTAGTAGTAGTGGAGACAAAACTATAGAACTACATAAATTACAAAAACAATTAACTTCATTAAATAAAACGTATGAAACTATACTAAAGGATGAAACCATCCCTGACAGAGAAGCAAAGTTAGTAATAATAGAGAAAGCTTCTAACGAATGCTCAGACTTTATTAATAAGATAAAACCTCTAGTTACTTTAAAAACTATCTCTGCTAATACTCCTGAAGTAAGTAGAATAATGGGAAATCCTCGACATCCTAATAAGAAAAATTATTATGGAAGACCAACGTTCCCAGATGTTCAATTTGAAGAAGACGTCTATCTATCTTACTCCAGTCATGATGGAACTGGAATTACCGAATGGAATATTGATGGCCTAGCCGAAGGCCAAATTTACAAAAAACTCCACGAAATAGGAATTGCGGTAACAACCTACAAAATGAAAAATGCGTCAGATAAACACGCTGCAACCTTAGTAGTATCAGGTTTTACTGGTACATTAAAAAATTGGTGGGATAATTATCTTTACGAAGAAAACAGAAATCAAATCCTTAATGCTACGACCATAACAACTGTAGTAAAAACTGAAAATAATACTCAGACAACCGAACAAGTAGCTAAAGAAGATGCTACAACAACTTTAATTTATTGTATAGCCAAACATTTTATTGGAGAACCAAAACTATTCCAAGATAGAAGTCTTGAACTTCTTAATAATCTTGGCTGCCCAAAATTAACAGATTTTAGGTGGTATAAAGATATGTTCATAGAAAAGGTAATGATCAGAGAAGACTGTAATAACCCTTTCTGGAAAGAAAGATTCATTAGTGGATTACCCAGACTATTTGCCGAAAAGGTAAGAAATAAAATTAAAGATAGATTTAATGGTTCAATTCCATATGATAATCTAACGTATGGAGATTTAATAAGCTTTATTAATGTTACAGGTTTAGACCTATGTACAGACCTAAAACTAAAAAGCCTTATTAAAAAGGACAGACTACAATCCAAAGCTGAACTTGGTAGTTTTTGCCCAAGACTTCGGTTACAAAACAATTGCAGCTCCTTCAAAAAGAGTATCAAAGAAAAACAAACATAAAATTTCTGATAAACCTAGAAGACACCATAAGCGTAAAGAAAAGAAAGAAGGTGAAACTTCTAAAAAGAAAAGGTTTAAAAGAAAGAAAAATTATGGTGATAAATGTTGGTCATGTGGAAAAGCAGGGCATAGAGCCAGTGACTGTAAGGTCACGAAAGGGAAAAAGAATAAAGTTAATTCTTTAGAAATTGACGAAAATACTAAAGAAAAACTTTACGCTATTCTAGAAGATAATGATTACAGTTCATCGTCTTCATCATCTTCATCCACTGTTAGTTATTCGGATAGTGACAATGAACTAATCAATGTCGCGTATGATTCAGACAGTAGCAGCTCAGTAGAAAACAGCTGTAACTGTACTGGCGCAGTTTGCGTGTGTAGTCAAAACTCACTTAGGGTAATTTCGGAAGACTCCAAGGAAGTCTTATTCGACATCATCGAACACATTGATAACGATGACTTAAAGAAAAAATATCTAATTGAATTAAAAAATATTATGGTTAAACAGAAGGGAAATCGACCACAGATAGAACCTTTTGATATGAAGAAAGTAATGGATAGATTTTCTGTTAAAACAGAAGAACCCACTACCGTCCAACATCTTCAAACTGAACTTAAATCAGTGAAAGAAGAATTAAAAGATATTAAGCTTAGACTTAATAAAATCGAAATGGAAAATATTACTAATAAAATATTATCCCAAGCAAATAAAAGAAAACTTATTAATCAAGAATTCTTCAAAGAAGAAAATAATGGTAACGATTCTGAAGAAGATGGCAACACTTCAAAATTAAACGATAATAATTCAATTGTAGAAGAATCAAGAGACGGCTCATCAGCCTTAGTTAAACTCACTAAAATAAAGGCTAAAAGTTATCATCTCCCCATAACTTTAAAAGTGCAAGATATGACCTTTAATAAATTAACATTATTAGATTCAGGTGCAGATAAGAACTGCATAATGGAAGGAATAATACCTCTAAAATATTTAGAAAAGAGTACGCAAAAATTATACTCCGCTGTAGGAGAATTATAAAAATAAATTACAAATTATCTAAAGCACATATCTGTAATGATGGAATATGCTTTATTAATGATTTTGTAATAACAAGGGATATAAATGAAGAAATAATTTTGGGAATTCCTTTCCTGACCCAAATAAAGCCACATTACGACGATTTAAGTGCACTCTGCACTAATGTATTAGGAAAAGAAATACGATTTCCTTACCTAAATCCAATCTCTAAAGAGGAAAGTGATTACATTAAATCACAAACAATTTTTAAAATAAACTTATTATCTCAACAAGTTAATTACTTAAAAAATGATATAAAAGTTCACAAAATTGAACAAACTTTAAAAACCCCGGAAGTAGGAGATAAGATTAAATTGTTTCAGCAAAAACTCGAACTAGAAGTTTGTTCCGATTTACCTACAGGCTTTTGGGAACGAAAAAGGCACATAGTCCACCTACCTTACATAAAGGAATTTAATGAACAAAACATACCTACTAAGGCAAGACCTATTCAAATGAATCATGACTTAATGGAAGTCTGTAAAAAGGAAATAAGTGATCTTCTCCGGAAGAAAATAATTAGGCCTTCTAAATCACCTTGGAGCTGTGCAGCCTTCTATGTTAACAATAACGCAGAAAAGGAAAGAGGAGCCCCTAGGTTAGTAATTAACTATAAACCTTTAAATAAAGTATTACAATGGATTAGGTACCCGATACGTAATAAAAGAGATTTATTAAAAAGAACTTATAGGGCTAATATTTATAGCAAATTCGATATGAAATCAGGTTTCTGGCAAATTCAAATTGCTGAGGAAGATAAATATAAAACTGCCTTCAATGTCCCCTTTGGACAGTATGAATGGAACGTAATGCCTTTTGGGTTAAAAAATGCCCCATCTGAATTTCAGAATCTAATGAATAATATATTCAATCCCTATAGTAACATGTCAATAGTTTACATTGACGACGTATTAATATTTTCAGAAGATATAGATTCCCACTTTAAACATCTCAATACTTTCTTTAAAATAGTAAAACACAACCGACTAGTAGTCAGTGCTAAGAAGATATAAAGTTGTTTCAAACAACCATTAGATTTTTAGGACATGACCTATATCAAGGAACCTACAAACCAATCTGTGGAGCCATTGAATTCTCGTCCAAATTTCCCGATGAAATCATAGACAAAACACAACTACAAAGATTCTTAGGAAGCCTCAACTACGTAGCAGACTTTATCCCTAATATTAGGAAAATTTGTGAACCCCTTTATAAACGTCTCAGGAAGAATCCGGTCCCTTGGAGTCTATAGCAAACCGACACAGTCAAGAAAGTCAAGTCCATTGTTCAAAAACTCCCATGTCTAGGAATTCCAAATCTTGAAGCGTTCATGATAGTCGAAACCGACGCTTCTGATGAAGGGTACGGTGAAATTCTTAAACAACGATTTCGTCAGAGTCTCCAGAACAGTTAGTTCGTTTCACTTCTGGTATCTGGAATCCGGCTCAAAAGAATTATAGTACAGTCAAAAAAGAGATTTTGTCTATAGTACTATATATTACAAAATTTCAAGATGATTTAATAAATAAAGAATTTTTATTAAGAGTTGATTGTAAATCAGCTAAAGAAATTTTGCAAAAGGATGTTAAAATTCTTATTTCTAAACAGATTTTTGCCA